CATCGGACATATTATGAAGTTGAGATGAAGCGATGTTCCCAAATCCTTCTGGCTTGAAGCTCCTTGGTACGTCTAGGTGCTCGAGCAGATGAAGCTCACTCCGCCATTTCTCTCCCATCTGCTTCTTGTGGCGTCGTCAACTGGTTCGTCCCAGTCACTAGTATGACAGATGTCTTGTAAGATTCTTTTCCCGACCAGCACTACAGGCGCGATGAGACCCAAGGGATCGTAAACAGAGCTGATCGTGGAGAGGATCCCTCTCCGTGTACAGGGGTTGTCCTTAAGCTGAATTCGGAATTTAAAAACATCAGACTCGATGCACCAATGGACTCCTAATGCCCTCTCAATGGGCAACTTGTCTTGACCCAAAGCGAGGTTAGTTACGTTTTCAGCTCTATCTCCTTGCGGGATCGAGTCAATGATGCGTTCCGTGTTACCGACGAACTTGAGCAGATTGAATCCGCCTCTTGCGCAGACCTCCTTAATGTTCTTCGCTAGTTCAATAGCTTCGTCTTCCGTGTGTGCGGATTTAAGAACGTCATCAACGTAGAAGTTCTTTCTTAGAGTGTTGGCAACTTCAGCACCGAACTCACACTCGTTGTCGTCTGCCGTGCGTCTAAGGGCATAATTCGCACAGGCAGGTGACGATCCCGCGCCGAATAAGTGTACTGTCATACAGTACTCTTCTGCTTCTTTCTCCGTTTCTCCGTCGGGCCACCATAGGAATCTGAGGAAGCTTTGGTCTTCCCTTCTCATCTTCACTTGGAAGAACATCTTCTCGATATCCGCCATAAACGCGAATCTCTCTTGTCGGAATCTGGTCAAGACGCCAATTAACTAGCTGGTCAGATCCGGTCCTTGAAGGAGATTGTCATTTAGAGATTGTCCTTCGTATCTAGCCGAACAATCAAACACGATACGCACCTTCGTTGGTTTTTGAGCATGGTACACACCATGGTGTGGCAGGTACCAGAATTTTCCATCTTTGGTTTCAAGATCAGTGTCGACCTTGCGAGCGTAGCCTTTAAAGATGATCTCGGACATAAAGTTGCAGTAATCCGTGTGATACTTGTTATCTGACTTTAGTCGCTTCTTTAGACTGTCCAAACGCTTCTCTGCTTGTACGCGGTTGTTTGGTAGCTTAATGTTCCGATCCTTCAGCGGAAGAGGCATCTCGTAGTGCGAGTCTTCAAGATGAACAGTCCCGTCTTCAACTGTTTGATAAAACTTCCTATCTTCGCGTGACATGGCAGTTCCTTTCTCTGTTTCAGAGAAGTCCAACTCAAACATTAGTTCTACCGATTGTGGCGTTATCAGTTCCTTTACTGTCCTCTGTGCCACAACGTAACTTTTGGCGGTCGTAGATGCCATCTGCTTGTCCAGTAGAATTCTGTTACAGTGAAGACTGTTGCACTCCGAAGAGTTGATAGGCCCGTTGATGTACCATCCCAGTAGTGAGCGTACAGCATATGGTTCGGTCTCCTTTCCGTAAACGACGTCTCTTGGTCGTAGCGCACTTGGACAGTTCAAACCAATTAAGAGTCCTACCTCCACTTCTTCCATGTAGGGTGGAATCTGCTTGCTCACTTCTTTTAGATGATCGATCTTGCCTACTACATCAGGTCTTGGTATTTCACTGCGGTCTGCTGGAATGACCTGCATAGTGAAAGTTCTAGGCAATTCTAAGCTAACGTCTTCATCCGTGAGGTTAGTCACAATTAATCCGTTAATCGCCTTCGATGACGAGGTTTCCGTTCCTTGTATTGTTGTCAGTAGAAGTTCAGTCTCGCTTTCTTCTGTGCCCAGCTTCTGTGCCAGCTCTTCCTTTACAAACGTTCCACCGCTGGCATTGTCCAGCAGTGCATAGACCTTTACTCTGTTTGATGGATTGTTCTCGTGAGACAGCCATACCGGTAGCACACTCAGGTTCACGGGTATATCTCCAGCTTCCGTGACGCTACAGACATCCGTACGTTTGTTACTAACTCGAGGGGTTTCTTTAGGTTGGCTCTTTTCGCTTTGGTTCTTTGTCTTACTTGTCCAGTCATCATCATGCATAGATGTTGGGTGCTTCTTACTGCACGTTTTACATGACAGTCTATCTTTACAATTCTTTGCGACATGTTCGTTGCTAAAGCAACCATAACACAGTTTCTTTTCCTTCACAAAATCACGTCGATCGCTAAGAGGTTTTTTCAAGAACTGTTCAAAGTCGTTCAAATCATGATGCTTGTCGCAAAGGGCGCAASAAACGTTCGGCTTGTACTTGTTTCTCTCCGTCAGATCCGTCGCAAAACTTGAACCCTTTACTCTCTTAGGAGGTCTTCTTCCGAACGTCGGGCGAGTGGGTTTGTCTTTTTCTTCAAGAGACAGCTTGGTTACACCTTCCTCTGAGAATACTGCGTCAGTGGCTAACTCTGGTTGCTCGGGCACAAATTGAGTAAATTCTTCAAAGTCGGCCATTCTTCCCTTCATACTTCTAGTTTTACTGTTCCTTTCGGCCCACTTGCTGCGCAGATGACGCGGTAGCTTTTCCCACAATTGGCGTAGTACTTGCGCAGTGTTGAGATCGTCCATGTGCGACATTCCCTTCATGGCCGATTTCGCTTGTTTTAGGGCAAGCGCAAAATCTTGAAGGGCGAGGCCTTCGTTCGGCTTGATCTGCGGCCAGGATGACAGCCTGTTAATGTGCGCGCTAGCAATTTTGAAGGCATCACCAAATTGTCGCTGTAAGAGATTCTGAGCTTCATCGTACGCATCGTCGGTTTTCCTCTGCAGGCAACCGCTTATTACTTCCTTGGCCCTTCCGGTGKTGTATTGACCCAGGAAGTAAAGTCTTTCAACAGAGTCTTCCACCTTTGACTCAATTAATGATTCAAAGGCGGTTAAGAACGATGGAAATTCCATTGCGTTGCCGGAAAACGTGGGAGGCTTGTGCGTTGGCAACATGCTCCTTGCCTGCTGGGCGGCGATAGTTTCGGATTATTCTGCTTGTTTCCTTTGTATGTCGACTATTTCTTGATATGTGTTGTTCTGTATATACGGTGTATATGCGCTTGGTGTCATACTTGCTCCTATTATATCAAAGGGACGATGCTGTAAGGGCTGACCAAAGTTGTCAAACCCTTGACCTCCTAATACTGGAGGGATACCTTGAAGAGACGCTTGATATGCTATACCTTGTGCAGGGCTAGTGTGGAGGGGCGGCCTGTACGCAAATGATGAGCTTGCGCGGCTTCCATGTAACGTTCCCTGGCCCACCCCTAACTGTAGGCCCGTGGAGCTCATAGAAGCAGGTAAACTTGACACTACGGTGGTACTTGAAGACACACTCCCAACTGTTGCCTGGCTTACCCCTGATGATACACTCTTGGGGGTTATGGGTGCACGTGGACTTGACATTATGTTTGAACCTGAGGACACGCCCTTAACTGTTGTCTGGCTTACCCCTAATGGCACATTCTTGGGGGTTATGGGTGCAGGTGAGCTTGAAACTACGGTTGTGCTTGAGGTGCCACTAACCATTCCCTTGCTCGCCGAGGGCTCCGTACTTGTAGGGGTTGTATGACTGTGTGGCGGGTTATGTGCAACGCTGGTGTGAACAGGAAGACCCAGAGGTGCTCCTTGACCCTCTGTAGACTTAGTGCTTGCCGAAGCTTCATGGTTGAGGGGACCACTGTCACCACTAGTTGGTATCACACTTATTGAGAGGCGCGGCAACCCACGCGCTAAAGTAGGGGTCGAGAACATATCATCTTCGTTTGCTTGCTCATAGATTTGTTCTTCCTTCTTCGCCTGAGCTAAGCCCTTTTTTAACTCTAGTTCTTCTGAAGCCATCTTAAGCGCTTGGGTTTCCTTCAAAAACGCCGCTTCGACCTCTAATGCTGCGATCTTAGCGCGTGCTTCGATTAACCTTGATTTCGAAGACATTGATGAGGAAACGGAATGCTTAGAACGCCCAGAGTTTCTCGAGGAATGACGAGACCCCCTTGAAGTAGTGGAATTAATTTCAAAAAACACACCTTTAGCCTTTGACATGTATTCACATACTGTTTGTTTAAACTTAAAGATAGCTCCATCGTGAGTGTCAAACCACGTAACAGCATCCTCGACCTCTTCGTCGTTTTCCAAGGAATTCAGATAATTGTCATGAGCATCTTGTAATTTATAAATCAAACCGTTCAAAACTTCTGTCTCGCTTGACACAAACTCAAAATTATGAAAATCATGAAGCAGTGGCCTAATTTTATTCATCTGTCTTGTCACTTGTCGTAAACCCGATGTTCTATTCTCCTTCAAGTTCTCTAATTCATATTGTTTACCTTTTTTCGTCGAGGTTTTCCTTCTCGCACCATCTCCAAGCTCTTCAGCATCCCTTTCCAAACCCTTTCCTTCCACATCCAGTGAACCTTGAACCTTTTCTGGATCGCGGCTGTTTTGTTTAGTCGCAGAGGCCGTTGTTGGAGTTCCCTTCGGTGGAGATTCCGTCGCCGAATTGACATTTGACTCCGCAAAATGTGCCATAGAATTTTCCTTTTCACCGTTAATAAATCCCTTTCTTTAGCCTTCCATGTCCGTAATTTTGTCCTTGTATTCCTTGTATATCCTTGTGAATCCTTGTGAATCCTTGTTGTCGAGTCCAGTTGCAATAAAACAAAAATATCCTTGAGAATTATTCCAATTTTGCCGTCGATTGTCGTTCGAAGAAATGTCTTGCTGAGATTTTTACTCGCTGAGTTTGCTGGCTTGAGTTTTTACTGTAACTGGCCACGGCGGTATACAAWTAAACTTTATTATAACTAGAGGCTGAGTACAACTCATTCAAAGTAAGTTACTTTCTAAAGAAGCTTTATAAACATAAAAAGGGCGACTATGAAACCTCTAAAAATACCCCGAAAGGTAAAAACTCAGCTACCTTGTGGCCGCCGTGCAAGAGAATGACTCCGCGCATGCGCACCAAAGACCACAGGGAACCCAAACTACCACAGGGACCCCAATGCAGATACAACAGGTTTGCCACCCATAAATGGACACTTTATTTCTATTGCCGCAGTAAGTTTTCCATGATCGCATTTTTTCCCCACTAAGTCCATCAGGTGAGGATGCCTGCCAATCTTTACCATTAGTGTCAGTTAAGAACCAAACACCAGTTTCCTTGACAATGTCTTCATTGTGATTTATAGAGAAATAACTATTCAAGTATGTAACATTAGTGCACTTTCTTCATTGATTGACCCCCATAACATTGCCAGATTTTCCTGTTCCTCTTTTTCGATAGGGTTTCCTAGTAATGTATCATGTAACTCTCTCCAGTAGTCAATCATAGCAGTTTTTCCATACCAACCAAGGGCAGTAGTAGCCTTACTACCATTTGTCTTTCCTTTTCTTGCATCGAACCATTTTTTACTTTTTTGTTTACAAAATCTAGGTTCTGTGAGATTGTCAGAAGGAGAAGGAGGTGCATAGCATTTAAAATTGTTGAGATCACAAGAGTCCAGAGTGGTGATCAAATTAGGAAGAGTTGAACCAGGATAATACCATGCCCTCTTCGGCAGTGGGGGATTTGTGAGTGTTGATTGTTTTTTCTTATTCTTGTTTGGACAATCAGATTTTAGGTGACCAATTTGATAACAAGAAAAGCATTGTTGTTTTGCGATCCATTCAGGCTCGTGGCCTTTAGGACATTCTGATGCCCAGTGGTCTTGCATATTACAGCGATAACATACATCGGTGGATTTGTTAGTTATTAGTGCCTTTTGATTTTAATTTGGCTTTCCCTTCAAATTGCTTTAGCATTTGCCTGACTGCTGACTCATCAGTATCATGTTGTGGTGCCAATCCATCTTTTGCTACGTATAGTACACATCTTCGTTGACAAAATGTTTGCACAAAAGATGACATGACCTCTGATGAAGAATTGATTAGATTTTCAGATAGGTTCATATTTCTCAACAAATGTATCCTATTAAATAGTAAAGTAGTGTGTTTCTTAAGGCTTAGAAGAGCACTATTTAATGATTCAGAGGACCAGCTATTGCAAAACAAAATTGACCTTAMATGGTAATCAAGGTGCTGAGCAAAGAAGAGAACATGAGGCTCATTTGATTTTGCACGCAATGCTGTAAGAATGGGTTCAGAGGAGTGGAGGAGAGTCGTAGGAGAGTAAAAATCGAGATACTCTGTTGTTCGTTTGACATGTCGTGTAAGCTGTAGTTTGTCAGCAGCATCATAAAATTCATCTAATTTGTAATCCCATGTAAAGACAATATTTTTAATTAATCACACTTGTGTCAATTGTAGGCCAGCCCTTCTTTTCATTTAGTGTCTTGTTAGGAGAATTATGTTTACAAAGATGAATTGCAGCAATGTTAGGGAGGGAAGCCTGATCATATGAGCCAATTGTGCCAATTAGATCTTTCATTTCGGAAGAAATGAGCATTTCTTTAGTCAAGGAAGCTGATGACTCAAAGAAATGCAAAGATGTTGCTTTCCCTCCTGCAATTCTTGCCCTCTGAAGGGAAACATAATTTTCTACATCATCTTGGCACATAGTTTTAGGAATTATTTGAATATCTGGATTATTTAGTTGTACATATTGCACAATGCCAAGAAATGCTCTGATTGTTCTTTGAAGGTCCTTATGGCTTATCCTTGGTGTGAATTTTTTCCAGTGTTCCCTTTTCCCTGCTGGATTAGGGATGTAGCTCTTATTTACCTCATCATACCAGTTATCAAACCATAACATAATTTGAATTAGTTTTCTATAGCAACAGGGATTAACCCCGGAACTGTCTTTAAAGAATTGAAAGAGGCGGTGACAATTTTGGATGTACTTTCTCGTTAAAATGGTATCCTCAGCAGGAAAAGAACCTTCAAAGATATCAACTGCCACATCAGAAGGAGCACAGCGCYACTGCACGTTTAACACTACATCAATCAAGTGTTCTTTATTTTATTTCATTTCCATTCAAACTCAGTCTCTTTTCAGGATCAACAATGAAATTCCTTAGTTTTTTAATCATATGTGGATAATCCGATAACCACCAAATTGGTTTGTTATCATTAAGTAGTATAGGGGATGGGGGTATCAGCGCAGTTGATCACCCGAGGATTACCCGCGTCTTCTTAGGATAGTATGGGTATTATCCGCGTTAAGTACTGGTTTTTTAGGAGGACATAGGTAATGTCCGTGTTGCGTTGTAAGGCACGAGGATTGTCCGTGGGGGCTACAGCGCATCTGTGGAAATATGTGTGTCTATATATGGAGTGCGAAGGTTGCAAAGAGTTTTATGATGACTTTTGTGTAAGGTGTTTAAGACAGCGCTTTAAACCTAGCAAGCCAAATAAGTATATTTTCTGTGGTAGGAAGATGCGAATAGAAGAGGATACGTCAGCGCAGTGTTACGAATGTGGTAAGAACATTCGCAATGCCGTGCCTTGTGCTACCAGGGAACAATATTACTCCAACGGAGGCCGTAAGAAAACCCCATATAAGAGAATAAAATACTTTAGGGACTGGATGAGGTATATCCAAGGGCACCCCGTATGTATAAGCGTTGAAGAAATGAGGCTAATTATTTTGGGCTTAAAGGAGCCGACGCCCGCAGAACTCAGAAAGACCTTAAGGAAGTTAAAGTTGGGTAAGTATTACAAAAATACCTCCTATATTTTGTCTCAAATTACGGGTAAGAAGATTCCTACAATTTCCAACGACGAAATGAACAAAGCCGAATGGATGTKTCGCTGCATAACCAAGGACATCCCCTACTACCCGGATGTAATTTACAAAATATTTCAAGAAGTTAATCCCGTGCGGCTAGAATGGATACCTAGCCGTTAAATGGAAGCTAAACCCTGCTTCGTTCTTTTCAAAGCCTACGCTGTAAGTTTTCTTTGGAGTTCTTCTTTTGCCTCCTGGTAAATCTTTTTGCGGGTTTCCTCTGTTAGGTCTTTTATGACTGTTTTTTTGTTTCTTATGCTTGTCTTTAGTTGTTCGTATTTTACCTCTTCGGCAAGGATAAGACTAAATTCCGCGTCGTCTATTCTGCGCTCGCGTAAGGCTTTAGGAACCAAGTCAGAAATGGTGTTGGCCTTTGCCGAGAATGCCAACGGAACGCCATATTTCATGAGGGCCCTTTTTATTTTTTCCTTGGTGGTAAGCCCCAGCTCCCGCTCCAGGTTGTCCTTTTGCGCCTGTGATTCCGCAACTCTCACCTGAAGGGTTTCTAGTTCCCTTTGGGCAGCCTCCTTTTCCTCTTCAGGACGAGTCTGGTCGGTAATTATTTCCTGCTGTTGTTCTATTTGCCCCTCCAAGTCTTCAATGGCCTGATCTCTTTGCCGGATTTGCTCTTCTTTGGTGTTGATTTCGGTAACCAACTGCCGCCGTTCCTCCAAAGAGCCGGCTATGGTGGTATGCAAGTTTTTGGCTTCTTCCTTGCTCATGTCCAGGTCTTTCAGAGCGAGCTCGAARGGTCTTTGAGCTTGGTCTCTGTCTCTGTAGGGCATTGTCTCTTTGTTCTCTTAATTCTAATATTCGTTCGTTTTTCGAGTCGATTTCTTTTTTTTTGGGCATCAAGGAGCAGTTGGTTTTGCCTCCTGTAATCTGCTTCCCCTTCTTCGAACGTTTCTCGTAGCTCCTGAGCACGTTTTTCTAACTCGGTTCTTACGTTCAAGTCTTCCAATCTTTCTAGCGCACTCCGGGTAGCCTCTTTGAAGCCCCTCAATCTGGCCACGTTAACTTTAACTGAGCCACTATCATCGAAGAGAAGTTGTGGTTTCGTCCAACGATCGAGCCCGGCATGCCTCATGTCTCTGACGCTTATAAGAACTTTGTTTCCGCGTTCTGTGAGCCTTATGTCGTCGGCCTCAAAACGGGGATAGCGCATTCTTAATTCTTGCGTTGCCCACTCTACGGTTTCCCGCGCGGTTGCCTCCTGTTCGTTCAGGTTCTGAAGTTCCAAGTACTCGGGGACGGGTCTGCCGCGGTTCTTTGATTGCCACATGCGATTTAGGGAGGCCTTGAAGCTCTTCCATTTGTTACCGCGTGCATTTTGCAGAGCCATGTCGTAGATTAGGGGGTCGGTTTCAGCACCTTGGGTCCACGCATCGAATTCTTCATCGTTAATGTCTTCTTGACCTTCTTCGGTGGTGGGGTCATAATCCGTTCCTTCTACATCCATTATACATGATAAGCTCAAAGTTAAACCCCAACGTACTACCTAAGCAGGTTGGCGGCCTAAAGGCAGAAAGAACCTTTCATCGTGTCACCTTTACCCCCAGCAGTGCAAAGCCAGGAGAGACCTTGTACGTTGGCGTGCCTCGCCTAACGGATAATCTGGTATTGGTTCCTGGTACGTTAGCGCTAAGGTTTGACCTAACGGTGCAGCCCAGCACCGCAGACGTGCGTCATGTCGTCAATAACGTAGGTCGCAACTTAATCTCTAAGATGAGGGTTAAATTCGCGGGAGAATCCCTTTTGGACTTAAACAGGTACGATTTGTATACGACCTACAAGGACCTGTGGCTAACGGCCTTTGACCGCGCGCAAAGGATAGAACAAGGAATTAGCAGCGTAGCCATACGTAAAGTAAGGAGTGCAGCCTCCGGCGCCTCGGGAGAAGACGAAATAAAGACGGCCTACGGAACTAAGTACGTCATCCCTCTGGACTTCGAAATGATTACGAACCACGGCTCATACTACCCAAGGCAGCTAAGTGAGCTACAGTTTGAAGTGACCCTGGCCGACACGACCAACATCTTACATGGAAAGGACGTAAGTTCTGCAGCCGTGGATCCATACTCTGTGACTAACTTAGAGCTGCAGTACGAAACGGTGCATAGCGAGGAATTAGCACGCAGCGCTGCCGCTGAATATGGCGCCGGAAAGGCATTCCTTTACGACCACGTAGTGATGTACAAGACATTCAGTTTCACGAACAACGTCGAAGAGGTCATCAACCAAAGCATTAATATACCACGACGCAGCCTTACAGGGCTAATGTTGCTGTTCGCCAAGACATACACTGCAGGATTGCGTGACTCCGAGGCATTCTTTAATCCTAACATTACCAACGTAGGCGTTAGTATTAACGGAGTGCCCAACAATGTCTACTCCCAGGGGATCAAACCCGCAGACATGTACAGGGAGGCAATGCGCAAGTTTGGTGACCAGATTGCCCCAAAGGAGTTCTTCACGGATAAGTACGCGTTATGGATCGACATGCGCACCACCAACGATGAATCCATGCACGGTCAGGGTCTACGGCTGGTAAACACCCAAGACGGCATCACTTTGGAAATTAAACGCACCAAACATGCCAGCGATTCTACTAAGATAAACTGCTACGTCTTCGTGGTTAGTGACGTGCAGCTAAGCGTAGAAATGAATCAGCTAAAGAGCGTTGCGTATTAAAATGTTCGGCTAATATACCATGTTACGCAACTTCCAGAAGAATGACACGACACTGCAATGCATAGTGCAAGGCGAAACTTTGTACTTTAAGGCAAAGGAAGTGGCTCTGGCGTTGGGCTACGAACGCCCAAGGAACGCGATTAGAGACCACGTGTCTGAAAAATACCAGAAAAGGTTGAACGAATTAAAGGGGGCATCGAAACAGTGCCCCCCTAATGCACAGCCTAATTCCGTGTATGTATCCGAACCCGGTCTTTATGAGTTGATATTCAGCTCTAAGTTGCCCCAAGCTGCAAAGTTTCGTGACTGGGTATTTGAAGATGTCCTGCCTGCGCTGCGTAAAGACGGTCGATACGCAATAGAACGACGCGTCGATACAGCTAACAAATTGGTCTTCAAGATAGAGAATGAGTTCGACTTACATAAAAAGGTCGTGGATTACCTACGGAGTTTCTACCCTGGTATGTTAGTAGTTGCCGGCTTGGGAGAACTGCAGGATACAGACGGTAAGAGACTCAAATCTTGGCAGAAAGGATACCAACGAGGGCAGCAAGACCTGATAATCCTGAATGCACATGTAAGATACAATGGCTTCTGCTTAGAATTGAAGACGCCCAAAGGAAATGGGGTATTATCCGAGGCGCAGCAGCAAATGCTATCACATTACGAGACCAATGGGTTCAAAGTGATGATCAGCAACGATTACGATGATATCTGCAGAAGTATCGCAGAATATTCCCAAGGGATGCGACTGCCCTGTAAGTACTGCTGCAAGAAGTTCAAAAATGCGGACACCTTGGACATACACCATAAAAAATTCCATAGAATATATGAACAAGGACAAATTTAACGCATTGAAGTTGGTACAGACGCACTGGAGGGAGTTAACAGTGGGGAAATCTACGAGATAAAGAATTACGTGGTATTTGAAGACATAGACCGCCTGCGGTTAGTACTAAAAGGTGAAAAAAAGACATACACCCTTTGGGCACCCGATAGGATAAGGTACGCCATTGAAGGGCAGGAAGTTACCCACATTATGAGTCATGGTAAGATAGACGGTAAATGGGTGTTTGACGTAGTTAAGTATGAGCCTGAGTCTCCGCTACATGATTAGAGGCGTCTGCTAAGGTTCGTTTTGTGTCGGCCGGACACCAATGGTCGTCAAAGGCTTCTTTCAAAAAMGGAATTGCCGCAATGAAGGCAATCGTATTTTTTTCGTGTCTTAGGTTTGGGTGGTCTCAGACATTCTGCAGGGGGTTCGCATGTAATACAGTCCATATATACCTATTAGGAAACCTCCAAAGAATGCTATTGCGTAGACAATCATATATCTAGGCCGCCAATGTTAAATGTTGTTATTTGGTTAAGGTATTGTTAAGGGTACCAAACTCTTTAAAGGATCAATGTTAAATGTTGTTATTTGGTTAAGGTAATTTTAAGGGGTACCAAACTCTTTAAAGGATCAATGTTAAATATTGTTATTTGGTTCCAAGACAGTTAGGGATATGCTCCTCTTCCCTTATGCATCCACATTTCTTGCATTCCTGTCTCCAATATTCCTTTTTTCCCCAAGGAACACCTTCAACTATGTCAAAGAATGGAAAGGTCTTATGGATCTTCTTTGCGTAAAGGATGCGATTCCTAATGTATTCATCTTTATGTTCACAGCGGCTTATGATATCCCCGCATTCGTAACAATCTACTCCCTCTACGTTGTATCCTTTTGCAAGTCTTTGATATTGCTTTTTGTGCACTCTTTGGTGTGTTTGAAGACGTTGGTGGGTACTAAGGATCTTACTGCAGTCTTCACATTGGATAGTGGTTTTCTTGTGACAAACACCATTCTTAACGTGGTACTGCAGCTTCTGTAAAGTACTGAATTTCCTGTTGCAGTCTTCACAAATGGTACTCTTCTTCTTTGTGCAAACGCCACGACTAACGTGGTATTGCAGTCTTTGCTTACTACTAAACACCTTGTTACAATCCGAGAAGGCATAGTTTGCTATGCCTTCCATTTATACTTAACAATATTTTAACCTCCATTTAACATCCAACATCATATTTCAAGACAGTTTCATGACCCATTTAACAAAACAACAACCAATACCTAACATTTAACATTGGATCCTAAGATGGTTTCCAGTCTTAACATATTCTTAACCAAATAACAACATTCTACAGAGGATATTTCATAAAGTCCACGACGGACTCCTTAGCCCACGTTACCATAGTTATCAAGGCGTCAAATCTTTGCACGCGCTTTAAGGCACGCAATTCCTCACGCAGCCGGTCTATTTCCTCCCTTTGCGTCTCTACCGTCCTTTCCAAATCAGACTTCCTTTTAACCACGTTAACCATCTCTTTGACTGCTTCCACGGGCTCCATTATATATGATGGATCCAAACCATATTCCTTGTAATGCTCTTATAGTAGGACCTACCGGCTGCGGAAATACGCAGTTCGTCGAAGAGCAGCTGTTGGGACCCTTTAGATGCCGATTTGATTACGTAGTGTTGTTATGCCCTACCTACGTGAATAACCGCACCTGGACGGGTATAGGCGAAAAGGATGACGACTTCTTTGTTGATATCTTAGACCCCAACGAGCTATCCAACCCCCTTAAGTTTTGGCATAGACAGTTCCCTAAGGATACGCAAACCCTCCTCATACTGGATGACATTGCTTGCGGGGATGACGTAAAAAGACGCACTTCCGAGTTAGTAAAGATTGCTTTCAGCGGCAGACATGACAATATTAGCGTTTGGTTGCTCTCGCAGCAGCTTACCAGTGTCTCTAAGCCCTTCAGGGAAAACATAGGCTCTTTGGTTTTCTTTTACACACCCAGTAAAAGCGATCTCGAAACCATCTTAAGCGACTACGGCGGCGAGATAAGCAAGGAAAAACTGCATGAATACATGCGCCATCTAAAAACACACCAACATTCCAAGATGATCTTTTCTTTGAGGTTTCCTTATCAAGTCAATATATATGGAGATTGAGCAGCTCATAGATGTACCACCACAGCTAG